ACAAAGGCTGTGATTAAGGGCTGGTGCTCCGACCCCCTGCTTATTACAGGAAAGGACTTATCTGATGGCCTAGTTTCAGCTCCACTTTTCCACCTTTTAATCAGATTCCCAGGTCTGCTTGTCCACTCAAAAAGGGAAGGAAGGGGATATCGATGGGGAAATAGGGCAGGAATAATGCTGCGGCGCTGCCTCTAGATACATGCATGGGACAGAGGATGCTGCCCCAAAGCTTTCCCAGGGCAGACAAAGGGATTACACCCAGCCATGCAGCTTTATTTTCTGGCATGGCACAAGTGCATCTGCACTTTCCAGCCTGGGTGTGTGAAACAAATGTGCTGGAAACAAAAAGCTCCTGTAAAATGGAAAACATACAGAGGAGCAGCTGTATTGAACAAGGAAGGCACCTACTGCTGCCATGAAGTCAGTCACATAATCAGTCAGCAAGAGACTTCTGTAGGCTGACAGCCATCAACCAGGAGACTGGGGAGAACAAAATGGGAGCTTTTGGGTAACAGAAAGTGCCCAGAATAAAGAGAAGGTTGTCCTAATGCTGCCCTGGGCATAAGGCAGAAGAGGAGGAGCAATCCTTGGTGTCTTTCCCAATGTGCTGGGAAGAGGGATCAGATGCTGATAGTCCTCCAGGAGACAGAGCACTGCAAGCAAACACCAGTTCAGCCACTTCTTCCCCCTCCCTAACCCTGTCTGTCCCTATTGCCCAGCCTCCACTGAGGTTTTCCCACTTCTAAGTATATTCAGCCTCTCATTATAACGTCCGTTTTGCTTGCCAGGGCAAACGTATCCAGCCATAGAGCTGAGCTAGAGGCAGCTGGAGCTTGCAGCTAAGCAGCTCTCCTGGCACGGGTGTCTGGTCTGACACCAAGGTTTAGTCCATTGCACCGTGTTATCAAGATGACAGCATCTTCAGTGAGCTGGCGTGATTGAAGAAGTGTTATGACAGACACACAGATTCTGACCCATCACTCCCAGGACAGTGTCCTTCAGGACACTCTCCATCCCTCCAGCTGAGCCTGCATCACAGGGCAGGAGGGATCCCATTCAGGAGGGTCATGGTGTTGTAACCTACTGATCACAGCCTAATGCTGGGTACCAGAGGAGCAGTCATCTCTAGGAGCTGGTGATGGGTTTTCCCCTATAGTTCGTAATAGTGCTGGGAGCAAGATTTGGCCTCTCCTGGAGATGTCAACCCATATCAGAGGAGGTAGATGGAGAACATCTGCCTTCTCAATCAGAACAACCTCTTCCCGGCAGCTCTGCCTGCCTACATGGAAGATTCAATTGTTCCTTCAGGCTTGTGAGGGCTGGGAACACCGCAGCTTTCCAGAGGCTGAGGTTTCCTCACTGGGGCTCTGCTTTTATACACAGCACTGAGAAATGCTTAAAATGAAATCTGCTATTTAAGAGCAGGCAAAGCCCTCCTGAGAGGTTTCTGTATGTTCTTTATTGCAATGGCTCTGCATGCTCTTAGCCCTCCATGCAGCAGCCCCCGCTCCTTGGAGAGCAGTGCTGGGACTGGACCACGTGTATCTCACTGCTGAAAGCTCTGCAGCTTTCTGTGCCATGGCATCACTGCTGCACACATTCATAGCACCACAGAACCCCAGACTGGTCTGGGTTGGAAGGGACCTTAAAGCTCCTCCAGCTCCAACCCCTGCCACGGGCAGGGACACCTTCCACTAGAGCAGGTTGCTCCAAGCCCCTGTGTCCAACCTGCCCTTGAACACTGCCAGGGATGGGGCAGCCACAGCTTCTCTGGGCACCCTGTGCCAGCGCCTCAGCACCCTCACAGGGAAGAATATTTTTGTTTCCTCCCACCCCAATGGTCGTGTGAAACAAGATTAGGGGCTCTCCCCACATCACCCCCTCTGCAAATCCAGCTTTTCAATCCTAGCAGGCTGTGTTGTAGATTGACCAAATCCATGAAGAGATTTCCCCACCATAGAATCACAGAATGGTTTGGGTTGGAAAGAACCTTAAGATCATCCAGTTCCAACCCCCTGCCATACACAGGGACACCTTCCACTAGACCATGTTGCCCAAGACTCTGTCCAACCATCTCTGACAAGCTTTGGAGCAGGAAATTTGCTCTTGTGCTGCTTCATTGCCATGTGTCCATAACATCTTTTGAGTCAGGCCGTGAAGCTCTCAAACCTTTCTGCCAGAGAGGACCCCAGTGAGCCAAACGCAGGGGGACAAACCCTGACCCCAGTCTGGATATACAACACCCATGAGGCTGGTGGGGCTGAGTAGAGCAAGACAAGTCCTGCACTTTGGCCCCAGCAGCAGCTATTGCCCTCTCAGTACTAAGGCAAAACATCTGGGGGATGTGGGTTTATCTCCTCCAAATCACTTTATTATATCATGATAAATCACAAAGCCTTACAATGCTGCAGAGGGTCTTTAAAATAAACCCAACACACTAACACAGCGACGGGACTTGCCAGCTTCTGCCAAGGCTTGCTTAGCAGCTAGTGTGAGATTACATGAGGAACACTTGCAGTCTTCAACTGGATTGTCACATTGGGATTTCAACTTACCACAGTGGTGCAAAGACAGTACCTTTGACAGTTTGTGATCCCTGTAACAGTTCATCTATGTACAGACTTACAAAATTGAACAACTTCCTTGAAAAACCTACATTTTCTGCCAGCAGAAAAAGAATTCTCTTAAAAAGGCAAGATCCACTAAAAACATCCTTTTCCTCCCAAATTGCCCCCGTCCTGCACTGCAGTTGATTGCTGTTCCCTTCCAGACCCCTACTTGTGAGCAGTCCCATTGCCTTTTTAAGAAAATCAATGTTTCTTGTGACTGTGGAGGCTGGTTGAGCATTGCAAAGAGTCAGGAGAGGGGCAAAAAGCCCCAGCGCTGAAAGAAAGGGTTAAAATCCCACCCTAAGTTCCCCAAAGAAAAGGAGATATGTGGGAGAGGGATTTCAGTATCCAAAGTGAGGTGTTGGCTCTTTTATGGGCTCAGTGGGTTTCAACCATCCTTGGAGGACGCTGCTTTGGGTAATAGGGTTTCCATTTGCAAAGACCTCTGGGGGAATGAGGATGAAGTCTGAGCTTCTCCCAACACTCCCAAGGAGGGTTGTGGGATTGGTTTGTTTCTGCATCATCTTTATATGGACCTCCTTAAATCAGTTTCAGACATTGAAGGTTGAAGGTTGCCCTGACGCAAGGATGGGTTTAGAGACCAAGCTACAGGTGAGCCCAAGCACAACATCCATCCTTCCCATCCCCATGACGGAGCATGCCAGACATGGACCAGACACCTCCACTGCAAGAGCTTCTACAAGCAAGCTGAAGGCTTCACATGTAGCATTGAGTCACATTGTGTTGCCTTCCTCACTTTCTCCAAGCCTGGAGAATCATAGAATCACAGAATGGTTTGGGTTGGAAAGGACCTTATCATCATCCACTTCCACCCCCCTGCCATGGGCAGGGACACCTCACACTAGACCATGTCACCCAAGGCTCTGTCCAACCTGGCCTTGATCACTGCCAGGGATGGAGCACTTACCACTTCTAGAAGTGGTAAAAGAGGGACCAGAGGGGCTCTCCTTTGCTTCTCCAGCACTTCAGAAATGAAGGAAAACATTTTCTGCCAGATTTCTATCAGATTGCAGCTGGCAGCCAAAGAGCTGTGGGAGAGAAAGAAAAGCCACAACTCTGAAAGTGGTAAAAGAGGGACCAGAGGGGCTTTTCTGTGCTTCTCCAGCACTTCAGAAACGAAGGAAAACATGAGCAAACCTCTGAGGACCAGGCTTTCTATCAGATTGCAGCTGGCAGCCAAATTGCTGTGGGAGAGAAAGAAAAGCCACAACTCTGGAACTAAACCCCAACAACATCTTTCCCCTGATAGGCAAAGAATTGCAGGGTCACAGACGTCAGTGTTAATCATTCTCTTGACATGTTCTGGAGGGTGTTTCAGTTGGCAAAGCATTGCAGGGTCACAGGCGTCAGTGTTAATCCTTCTCTTGACATGTTCTGGAGGGTGTTTCAGTGTTGAAAACAGCCTCACATGCGTCCAGCTGAGCTGCAGATGTGTTCAGATGGGGAACATCAGCTTACTCTTGCATGTTCTGGGGCTGCGTCTTGGTTTGATAAGGTTGTCAAGATGGGAATCACTGCCCAAGTTTTCTTCCAAGCCTCCCCAGAAAGGAAAGAGGGATGTTTATTACTGTTTTAAGCCAGGCTATGTGATTTCTTCACTTTGTAACCTGGTTAATTTGCTTCAGCAGAGGCTGGTTCCTGGGCAAGATGTGGCTGTTGGCAAACCCCTCTTCTTCCACCTTGCTCTGCTGCACATCATCTCTGAGCAATGGCTCGCTGAAGTTTAGAAAGAGAGGAGGATGCCAAGGTTGGACCTAAAGACATGATGGGAAAACAAGAGGAAAACTGGGAAAAGTTCTCAACTTACTCAATGCTCATCGCACACCCATGCAAATAACATGTAAAAACCAGCACATTAGGAGCACCCTGTGTTCAGGTTTGTCTGGAAAGGTTTCTTCAAGACTGAAAGTGCATGACAGGAACCAGGGTGCTGCTAATGAAGGCAACATCCAGAAGGCACTTCTTGGGGAGTAATAGTTAATACAAAAGGATGATGCACGGGTTTGTAAGCAAACGGCTACAGAGTCAGTATGTTTTGGTGTAGACAGATGTAACTTTACTCCTACAGATGTGTCTGGGACACAAAGGGTTGCTCCAGGATGACTGTTCTGCTCTGGGATCTGAAGAGCAGCTTGGTCCCCATTGTCCAGCATCGCCACTCTTGAGCCAAAGGGCTGCGTGCAGGACCTCAAGGGTAACACCTGGAGCGTTGCAGATGATGTGGGCCATGGTTTGAGAGCTTATAAAATCCACAGACAATCAAGTATAGGCATATACAAATATATAAATTATTGGCAGTCTTACAAAAGGCACACTGCAAGCCACCTCAGTCCGATCCTGTACAAATCCCACAGCCCCCCACCCTCCCATCCCCACCTTCTCCCCAGCTTTCATCACGAAACATAAGGTGCTGCTGCCACGGATCCGTGGCTGTCGTGGCAACTGAGGACCTCTTTTTTGGTCAGCCCGATTTGTCGGTGGTACTGTCCTTCTTTGATGGTCTTAAAACACTGTATGTTCTTCCCCAAGGTGATGCTTTTGATGGAAGGCAGGTATTTCAGCACAGTCTTTGGCAAGGACGACACGCCTGTGCCAGAGAGGTTGAGCTCTTGTAGGGAGTTCAGCCCAAAGATCACTTCAGCAGTCAGTGACTTCAAGTTGGGATTGTTGGATAAATCCAGAACTTGGAGGGCTGGTAGTTCCTTGAAGCTATAAGGAGACAACTCACTCAACCCATGCAGGCTGCTGAGGGATAAATGAATCAAATCTTTCAGCCCCATGAAGTCTCCTTTCTCAACCTTGGCTATGGGGTTCCCATCAAGATTTAAGTATCGGAGAGGAATGCCTTGAAGGTTTGGCACAGATTTTAGCCTGTTTCCAGAAAGATTCAAGTTCTGGATGTTGGGGATGCTCTTTTCACGGTGCCTCGTAATTGTGCTGAGCATATTATTGGATAGATCCACATTTAAGGGTTTTCCTTGACCTTTTGAAGCAAAAACGTCCATCGCTATATCCAAGAGCTTGTTATAGCTCAAATCTATGTCGCCCAAAGGAGAACTGGAGAAACAGTCCTCTGGAAGGACTTCCAGAGAGTTATGACTCAGGTCCAAGGACTCCAGGTACCGAAGCCTGGAGAAAGTTGTGGAGGAGATCTTGGCAATTTTGTTGTAGCTGAGGTCAAGGCTCACCAAAGTGGTGTATCCAGGGCCAGTGAGCTTCGATTCATTGATTGTTTCCAGTTTGTTTGATGATAGATCTAGGTAAGAGGTATCCAGAGGGATTGGAACAGGAACAATGTGTGAGCCTATTCCACTGCAGTCCACCTTGGTCAGGCTAAAGCTGTCAAAGAGACCAAAGCTTTCCACTTCGCAGTGACAGCCGGGGAAGCAAGTTTTGGTGGTACCGAAACAAGGAAGGAGAAGCAGCAGACTGAACCAGACCAGGAACTGCATTGTTGACCTGGAAAACAAGATGGTAAGAAAACAGATTTAATTGCTGTTGAGATTACTTGTCTGAAGATGTGTAACAGTTCCAGTCATGCAGTCTTCTCTTCTGTCTTTCCAAATGGACAGATTAAGTATACCCTTAAACAGCATGGATGTCCCAAACACTTTTGTTTCTAATGTTACGAACCCCAGTAGGAACTTAATGGAGAAAAACTGGGTCAACAGTCTTTGTAGATATAACCAAGTTAAGAAACAACAGGAAATCAGCTGTAAGAACAGTAAGAACTTGCCTTAAAGCAAGATCTATCCTTTTGAGTGAACCACAGAAGGAGCTAAATGACAGCTCAAACATTGAGTGATTTTATAGCCTGACAAACTTCAGTGCACAGAGGCCTTCATGTCTGGGCATCCAAGTGAGATTTGGGAGTCTTGCACTGGCAGGTTAGAGAAATCATTCAGACTGTGGGGCAGTGGGAGCCTTAGGTGTCCAAAAGCCTTATCAGGAAAGGAAAAGCCAAAGCTCCATTCAAATTTCCTATAGGTGAGAGAGATAATGACATCATCAGAACCTCATCCAGGATGAACAGCTAGAGAGAAGCTTCATTCTGCCCAAATGGACTGCACGTCTCCCTTCCTTACACTTCAGATGCGACTTTAGAAGTGCTGAGGTAGGTAAGGATATTGGTTTATATCAAGCAGCTAAGACAAACCCTCCTTGGGCTGGTGGCAGGCAGGACAAACAGCCCCTTGGCTGCTTGCCTGATGGAGCAGAGGAACCAAGGACCACTCAGTCTAACCCAGACTCTGCTGTGGTGGGACCATACTCCTGCACAGGCATTGAGTGGAGAGAGCCAATTTGTTTCATACAGAGCCTCTGGGGAGGCTTTGCTAATTACATTAAGAATTCTCTCTGATTAACACTGGCAGCAAGCAGGGAGCTGTCTCTAACTCTCTGGCTTTGAATCTCCTCCCTCTAAGGTGTTTCTGTCCCTTCACTGTTGCAGATAAGGGAGGAAGAGAGCTGATCTGCACCCTGGTGGCTTTGCTGGACCACTTCCGATCGCATCCTAACAGCTCCTCCACACAACTGTGAGCAACAATGATTTCAACAGCCAGCCAAAAAAGCTTCAGCTCTGCATCTCTGAAAGGGTTACATTGGAGCATGACAGCATGCAGCAGGTCAACAAAGGCTGTCCTTCCCATTGCAGTCATGGGTGACAGCTCCTCCTGCCTTACAAACAGGGTATCCAGGAGGCCGGCAACAAAATCTCCCATCAAACCAGGCAAGCAGATCCATCACTGCTCATTGTCTGTGCTGCTGGTGATAGAGGCTCACGTGCCAAGTAGTCATTTAACCAAAGAAAATAAATCCCCTTTAAAATGCACGTTCCCATCCCCTCCTCAGCCCCCCTGGAATCTATTCTCACCTTTCCCACCACTGCTTAAAAGCACTTTATTAACTTCCTTGTGGGATTATCTTTCCCACACACCCTTTGATCTGGCTGAGGCGCCTTCCCCACAGCCCTTGCATCTTCCCAGGGCCATTTCCTAGAAGTTCACACTTTATCCTCCCTCATCAGCCCTTGGCAGCAGTTTCTCTCCCTTTCCAGCATTGACTCTGCTCTCCTTCCCAGGGATTAGTTGCCAACGTGCAGAAGAAGTGCAAAGGGATAAAAAAGCATTGCAAAAACATTGCCCAGATCACTGATAGGACTTGTCTGGTGGTAACTCCCAGACCTCTGTGAATAGAGAGCAGAGACTGGGGCTCTGGCCAAAGCACCTGCAACCGTAGCATTGCTAAAGGCCAACACACATCCTCTGGGGTGCATTATCATATAGAAACAACAGACCAGTAAGATGAGCCCCAGTCCCAGCCCATCTCAACTGTTTCTTGAGCAAACACATATGTGTGCAGAAGGGACATGGGGTAGAGCTGCTTTCTGCAGATACATCTCCAGATATCCCTTTCTTAATGACCATCGAGGCTGATTCCCTCTGGTTCTATGCAGACAGACCATAGCTTGCTCCCTTCTGCAGTCCCTAAATGCTTCTTTTTCCATGAAGCTGCATTTGGAATGCACTGGCGTGTTTTATTACCAGGGGAAATTAGAGCAGCAGGGAGCTCTTTGGAAACTAAAAAAGCAAAACCTCAAATGTTAAATGTCTCACATACAGGGAAGTACCTGCACTAGTGTCAGCTCAGTCTCATGACAGGTTGAGAGAGCTGGATTTGTTCATCATAGAGAAGGCTCAGGGGAGACCTTATCCCCATGTGCCAATGTTTAAAGGGTGGCTACAAAGATGATGGAGACTCCCTTTTTCCATGGAGTTCCAGGGGAACAATAAGGGGTGATGGGCACAAGTTACTCCTGGGGAGATTCCAATTGGAAATAAGAGGAAAATTTTTCACACTGAGAACAACCAGACACTGGAATAATTTCCCCAGGGAAGTGGTTACTCCCAGCGTTGGACATGGTTAAGATTGGGCTGCACAGGGTGCTGGGCATCTAGTCCAGGTCATGCTTTGCCAAGAGAGGTTGGACCAGATGATCCCTGAGGTCCCTTCAACCTGGATTCTGTGATTCTATGAATTTCTTCTCTCAGATCCTACCCAGTAGCTATTCCCACTTGAAGTCTCAACAGGGAAAGCACTTCCTAATTTCTCCTTCAAAAGCTTAGCTCACTTCCTCATGGCATTCTGTTGGCTCTGGTGGGAGCTGGATCAGACCCCAGCAGGTCCAAAGGCACATCAGTGTTAGACTTGGCTTTCTGAGTACTGCTGACACCTTCATGGGCTCCTTGTTGGGACAACTGAAGAAAAGCAAGAGGACAATCTCCAAAGTCCTGTTTAACTAGGAACAGACATTTTAGCGGAGCCTGCAGCAACAGGGCAAGAGGGGACAGCTTTAAACTAGAAGAGGGTTGTTTCAGACTAGGTATATGGAAGAAATGTTTTACAATGAGGGTGCTGAGGCGCTGGCACAGGGTGCCCAGAGAAGCTGTGGCTGCCCCATCCCTGGCAGTGTTCAAGGCCAGGTTGGACACAGGGGCTTGGAGCAACCTGCTCTAGTGGAAGGTGTCCCTGCCCATGGCAGGGGTTGGGACTGGAGGAGCTTTAAGGCCCCTTCCACCCAAACCATTATATGATCCTATGAACTGAATCAAAGCCAGTGCTGGGCTTCAATATGCAACTGCTTAAACCCCTTTTGGCGTGGGAATTCCATTCCCAATCAGCTACAGAAATGATGTCCAGAAGTAGGCAGATAAAGTGACTCCTACTGCAACATCCATTGCTCCAGCCAGCAGCAAAGGCACAACATTACACAGCTGAAGTGCAGGACACAAAGCTCAGCTTAGGTATTTGCACAGCATCTATGGCCTCTTCCCTCCTCCAGTACTGCCCCAAATACTCCCTTACAGGCTCTGCAATTGCTTTGCTGATAAGTTACTAGCTAAAATCTCCCTTACTGAGCAGCACGAAACATTCATAGGCTATCAAGCCACTTGGCCAATAGCTGTGATAAAACATAGGAGAAATAAAGGTACTGGTCACCTTCCAGTCCAACAAAGAGTCTCCTGCATTGCCAGATAATCAAGGAAGAGCTTAGTCAGGTTCAGGCATGCTTTGTCATTGCATGGAGCAATCAATAGGGCTCTTTGAAACGAGGAAAGAAACATGCTGCAGGCATTTACAGTTCATCTGTGTACAGCGTGCATTTGAAACCACATCAAATCGCCTTTGGATTGCTGCCTACGAGCTGCTCTGTTGATAAAGGCAGGAAGCCAAGGTATCCCCTTGGAAAAGGGAGACGAAAAATGCTGAAGCACAGGGGAGATTCACCTGGAGGAAACACCATGGATAAGAAAAAACTGGCAACCAGCACTTGGGATGGTAAAGGGAAAGCTGCCAGGATAGAGCAGCCTGCCCTTGTGCTGGTTCAGCCATGACCTCCTCGTTTCTATGGCTGTTGTGGTGTGGAGAAATCCCAGGGACAAAATGAATGAGCTCTGGGGGGCTCATTGTACCCACTGATTTCAACAGGAGCTGTTGGGGTGCACCATCATCCCCCACATTTCAGGTACCCAGAGTGGATGCAGGTCTCTGGTTTTTATGTCTTGCTCATCCTTTCTGTGTGACAAATACCATAAGACAACCCCAAGGAGGCCCAGTAATGGATAACGGACCAAGATCCTAGCCTTCTCCCCCCATCCCTCCCTGAGCCTGCAGATTCCTCAATTCAATGCTTCCTCCCTGCTCTGCTCATCCCCTGCACCATTGTGTGGCAGGACACGGGCAGAAACCTCACACTGAGGTTTCCCTGCCAAAAAAAAAACCCCATTAAAATCTGATTTGAGAACCAGACTGCAGAGGAAACCCACGTCTCAGCTGATGGTCGGGGGGTGGTGTGGGAGTGAGGAAAGCCTTGTTACGGTGCCATTGCCAATTCACACTTCTCACTGCGCTTGATTTCCTCCTTCTCCTCTTCCTTAAAGACTTTTCTCACTAGACTGATCCTCAGCTGAGAGTTTTCCACCTCATTCCCACCCAAGGGAGGTCTGCTAACACATCCCGCCCTGGATGGAAGCCCATTGCTTGGGGACTGGTCCCCCCCTCGAATATGATGAGGATGCTACTCAAGCTACCTCCGGTTGTCCTGGCAACCACGAAGCTGGAACTCCCTATAGCCAAAAATCAAGGACTAATTAGAAATAGAAGGGGGAGGTGTTTGAAAGTTTGTTGTTTGATGGAGTCAGGAAGGGGACACCCTGGTTTTCACGCTGCGCTCCTCCGCTTCCCAAAGCATCAGCTGAAATGCAGCGGGAATCATGGATGAGGACCCAAAGTCAAACCATGAAGCTTACGGTACATAAGTAAGAAGTGCAGAAATCCCAGATTGACCCTACAATGGGGTGAAGTGAAGGAAATTGCTCCAGAGGGAAATGAAACCCATCTAAGACCAGAACCATCCTTGGAGATGCCCCATCTCTCCCTTGTCCGTGGCGGAACAG